GTTCTCCCAACACAGAAGAGGACAGTGGGTGTCTGAGAGGGCCATGCTCCAGGAGCTGGCAGGCTAGTGGCAGCTGTGATAGCAGAAGTGTCAACACGGCAAGAGCACATTGGGGTGAGGCAGGAAGGGGGGGTGGGCAGGATGGAATTACCATGACTGGGTTAATCAAATCATTTGGGGTGTTGGGGAGTCAGCCCCAGTGTTCATGACAAAGAACTAATGTTAAAAGCTATCCATACAGCAATGAAAACCAGGCTGGACCCAGATTTCTCTGCTGCAGTATTGTCCTCAGACAACGAAATGTCGTCTACAGATTTTTAAAGGAAAAGTTTGGACAGAGGATTCTAACCTCAGCCAGGATGGCTTTCCTTTTGATGGTGAAAGAAAGACACTTGCAGATATCAAGACATAAGACAAAAATAAAAATAAAAAGCATTCTTCTATTTATTTTATTTATTCAACAAATATTTATTGAGTGATAGGCGGTAGGAGTGGATAATGAAAAAGCAGTACCCCTGCCCTCATAGAGCTTACATTCTAAAGGGAAACACCGTAAGCAGTGAACATAATAAATGGACCAATGAAGTGATGAGGCCTCGAGAGAGAAGCAGCTGCAGTTTTAGGTGTGGCACTGAGGGTGGGTGAACTTTGAGTCAAGACTTGAGAGAGGTGGGGCATGGGCTCTGCAGATGTCTGGGGTTGGAACAGCCCAGCAGATGAGCAGCCTGTCTGTGGCCCTGTGGCTGGAGCGGGCCTGACCTGTGTGCAGACAACACTTTACATGATCTGACCCTGCTTTCCTCTCCGATCTCTGGTCTCTACTCTCATGAGCCAGCCAACAGGTATTGGTCCTTCTCACCTTCCAAGTTTGGTAAATGTGTTCACCTAGAGCACACACGAATGTGAGTCCAAACTTGCGGTTTGTCACCTTCCCCATGGGTCACCTGCCCCCAGAACTCTCCATACCTTTTGTCACTCCTACTCTGTAGCTAGATTTTAGCTTGAATGTCACTTTTTCCAGAAGTCTTTCCCTGAGCAACTCACCACCCCATTGCAAGCCCAGGTCTGAGTTAGGTGCCATTTCTAGCGCCTCCGCAGGGCTGTGGCACTCACTGCATATTATTATTAGTGTTTGGACTGTGTTGTTGGGACTATAAAGTTCCATGAAGGCAGGGCTTGCCATTGTATCACACAGACCTACACACTCCTAGCTTCTAGTAGGAGCTCGGTAAATATCTGTGGAATGAATGGCTTAACGGACAGGTGGTAAGCATACAACCCAGTGAAAAGAGATACAAATAATTGTAAGGCACGTTGTAAAACTAATGAAAAGACCAAAATTATTTCCAAAGGAGATGTAAATAGGAGATATCTCCTGTCCAGATAGAGGGACACATAGACCAGGCTCCTGCCCCTGCCTTGCTGGGTTTGGCCAGTGCCGTCTCTCAGCTGCAGGAGGGAGGGGAGGAAAGTGAGGTCAGAGGATGTATTCACTGAGCCTCCTGTCTGCTGCAGGCTGGCTGTGTGTTCCCCACCAAGGATCACCCCACCAAGGAGGACAGCCCACCCCATCTCCACCCTCTGGCTCAGGAATGGAATAGTGCTGCTACCAGCTCGCTCCACTTTCATGTGCTATCCCTGGCAGTTCCCCTGCACTCACACTGAGCTCAACAGCCCCTGTATCAGTGCACCTTCCTGAAATCATCCTATATCAGACATGCATTCTATTTCCTGCTGGAACCCTCACTGATACCTGTGCAAGGCTAAATGTCTGTAAAGTGAAGATCCTTTCCCAGGAAAATATAGACTCATAAAATTGATTCAAGAAGAAATGAAAACAATATATGCCAGTAACCAGGGAAGAAATAGAAAATATCAAATTATTACCTGCAATTAAATGACAGGCTTAGATAATATCAAGTGCAAGATCTATCATGTCTTCTTAATTCAATAATTATCTACTTTTTAAAATCAGGGTATTAAAAAAGATAGAAATTTTCTCAGGTACTTTTATTAAGTTAACATATTAAAACCTGACAAAAATAGCTCAAAAAACTAAAACTGTTAACCAAATTTAGTTATTAAAAGAGATGCAAAAATCTTAGTAAATTAAATCTTCCATTATAATTAGAAGAATAGCAAATAAAGTCTGTTTTATGAAGGCAAAAGTGAGTCAATATTGGAAAATCTTTTTATATCAACTTGCTTTTTTAAAAAAGGGCAAAAAATAAAGTTAAATCCTGAAATTTGTAGTAACCTAGGAATGGAAAGATATTTCCTTAACTTAGAACAGAGTATCAATCTGAAACTAATATCCAAGATTATATTTATGATGAAACATTACAGACAATCCTATTAAAATTAAGAATAAGATAATGATGCCTGCTATCAATTTTGTTTAACATTGAACTTGAAGCTCTAGCCAATGTAATTAGACAAGAAAATTAAATAAGAAATATGAATAGTGAGGAGAAAATACCATTATTTGCAAAAAATGATTGTCTCCATGAAACATAACCTTTATAAATAAGGTGTATTTACAAATCAATGAAAAGACTGAACACACTTATAGAAAAAATGAGAAGACATAATGTAACAATTCAGAAAAGAAGAAAGACAAATGGTCAACCAAAACAAGTGTAAACATTCCATCTTGTACCTATCAAATTTAAATAATGAATGTGATGATTTGGGCAGGGAGAAAGAGGCACTCTCATACTCAATTCTTTAAGAAGTGTAACAATTTACACACTCACAATTTGACAATATCCTTTAAAAGCTTGAAAATGTACCTATACTTTGACCCTGCACTTCTCCTTCCAGGAATTCAATGTAGGAAGGGGGTAGAATTATTACCTAAGAATGGTTTGGGACAGCAAGAGATAGACTTATGTTCAAGAATGTTCATTGTTTATCATTTCCACTTATGGTAGTTAATTTCACTGAATACATGATGATCCATTCATAAAATAATATTATGTGGCCACTAAAACGATGCTCATTTATCATTTTTGTTCACAGTCAATTTTGAGTAGACAAAATCAAGTTTCAAAATAATATGCAAAGTATTAGCCCATTTTTACATATATTAATGTTTTGTCTAAATGCATAAAACATGAGTATACACAATATAGGGTTTATCTCTGAACAAAAGACCTATGAACTTTTTATTTTGTTTCTCCTTTTTTAATATATTTTATTGATTTTTTACAGAGAGGAAGGGAGAGGGATAGAGAGTTAGAAACATCGATGAGAGAGAAACATCCTATCAGCTGCCTCCTGCACACCCCCCACTGAGGATGTGCCCGCAACCAAGGTACATGCCCTTGACCGGAATCGAACCTGGGACCCTTCAGTCCACAGGCCGACACTCTATCCACTGAGCCAAATCAGCCAGGGCTGTTCCTCTTTTTTAAAGGAGTTTTAGATGTGAAGGAACCTGGACAGGCTGTAAGGGAGCGGCCATCCCGAGTGACTTAAATACTGTACCTTTTCCTGTTTGACTCTGTGCTCAGGGAGCCCAGGGAGATGGTGCGGCCGGGCTTAGTTGCTGGCTCTCACTGTTGTCTGCTGTCGGTATTTGCTGCCTGGTCTTAGAAAAATTGCTTGAACTCCGTTTTTCTCAATCTGAAAAAATACAAAGAACAGTTGTATTACACTCAGTAAATCTCAAGCCTCAAAAACAGAGAACTATGAGGTTTCTTTCCCCTCCCCACTCTCCCCCCACCCCGCCCAAGATCAACTCTGAATGTGATGGAGCTTCCAAGTCCAGCTACTCACTCACAGAAAGCAGCGGAGGAGCAGCGCTCGTTCCAGCACCCACAGGGACACACCCGCAGGACCCCAACAGTGAGAGACTCTGGGACAGATAACCCAGTTTCTTCAACAAAGAAACAGAAAGTTCTAAAACTACATCATATCAACTAACCTCGTGTGTTTAGATTCTTATTCGAACAAACAAATTATTTTTAATATAATGGCATTGAAGAGAATGCTGTGAATTTAAACGCTGCCTATATGATACTAAGAAAGTCAGTTTTGTTAATTTCTCAGGTGCTATAGTGATACTGTGTAGATAGTTCTTCTAAAGGGTCCTTTAGGAGACACAGTAAAATATGTGCAGGTGAAATGGCAGAATGCCCGGAATTTGCTTTAAGATAATATGAGGGAGAGGGGCTGAGGGTGGATGGGGCAGGATTCGCCATGGGATGATGCTGGGTACATGGGGGCTTATCATACTATTGGGTCCAGTTTTGTGTCCATTCAAATTTCTTCGTAACAACAACAAAAAAAGTTTATTTTTTAAAAGCAAAGTGTTCCCACCTTTATGATAAAGCTGATGAATTTTAAATTTGCAAATAATAAAATAGGAGTCCTTTGACCGTGGGGACTGTGAAAATAAAAGGGAAGGGCCAAGTAGAGGGGAAACTCCACAGCAAAGCAATTCTCTTTGCCAATGTCCTGACAGAAAGTTGAGGTGAGAAGTTGGGATTACTGTCCTCGGCCACGCACTCCCAGCAGAACCTCATGCTGTTCCCTGAGCAGCTCTCCAGAG